AATAGTCTTTGGACAGAGAGACACCGTGTGTGTGTGTTTACTAAATCTGAATTGTACAACTGTATGTGTTTCATGTGGAATAGTCTTTGGATAGAGAGACACTGTGTGTGTGTGTGTGTGTGTGTGTGTGTGTTTACTAAATCTGAATTGTACAACTGTATGTGTTTCAGGTGGAATAGTCTTTGGATAGAGAGACACTGTGTGTGTGTATTTACTAAATCTGAATTGTACAGCTGTATGTGTTTCATGTGGAATAGTCTTTGGACAGAGAGACACCGTGTGTGTGTGTTTACTAAATCTGAATTGTACAACTGTATGTGTTTCATGTGGAATAGTCTTTGGATAGAGAGACACTGTGTGTGTGTGTGTGTGTGTGTGTGTGTGTGTGTGTGTGTGTGTGTGTGTGTGTGTGTTTACTAAATCTGAATTGTACAACTGTATGTGTTTCAGGTGGAATAGTCTTTGGATAGAGAGACACTGTGTGTGTGTGTTTACTAAATCTGAATTGTACAACTGTATGTGTTTCAGGTGGAATAGTCTTTGGACAGAGAGGTCAGGTGCTGTATTCAACAAACTTAAGTAAGTTCAGTGCAAGTTTGATGAATTATGCAAGTCATGTTGTTGTCTCGGTAACCTGTCAGCAGCATGTAATTGCTGGCTCCAAATTATCATACCAGAAAAAAACTTGGTTAATTCGTGGACATACAGTTTTCATTCAGTTTCCTGTTTTATGAAATATAGCATAAAATTTGTAATATCATAATATGTTAATGTTATGTAATATGTAACAACTGATTCCTGCTTTACATCAAATATTGATGTAAGAATTTCTTTTTACAAAAATGAAATAATATCACTTCTGTATTTAATTTTCCTAGACATCTCGTGACACAACATTCTTTTAAACAACATTTCATTAATCTCCACATTTATAAAAATGTAATATTGATTATTTTATTACCACGAATTAATCAAGTTTTTATGGTACTTAAATATGCACAGTGTACTATCCTCTCTGTAAGTCTTTCCCGCCTTATAAGGAATTGTCAACTATATTGCTTCATGTCGTTCTTGTTCTTTGTCCTATTTTTAGATGGGCTTGCCGATCACCTGTGTGATCGTTTAGTCAGTGTATTATTTGAGATTTGGATACTAGCTTGTGCCCGGTGCTTTCCGTCACCACCGCTTTGGAAGACTCTACGTGATATGTGTGCTACATGGAGACACCATTCTTCACTAGTTGAGCAGTGGAATAGAGTGAATAAAGTGCTTACATCAAGAGTACTAAAGTTCTTACATGGGCCAAACTTCCCTCCACTGAAAGTTGGTATGTTTCTTGTATTGATATGGCATACTGTATTTGTTTTATTAATAGCACATAGGTAAAATACAGAGGTGTTCAAAATAAGTTATATTTTTAATGCAGTGTACAACAAATGTAAGTCTATGTGCATTAAATGAGATCGATTGGAGATGCATTTGCAACAGAATAAATATAGTATTCTTCGTAATGTTGTACTGTAAAACCATTTATTTTATAACTCTATTTTCATTTACCAGTTAAACAATGCATTCTATTGTAACTTGATATTTTCATGTAAATTTAATTTAGCGACTTTTACTTTTGTGTGTTCTTAAAGTGGCAATAGCTGTGATTTTGAACTACATAAAGATAACCAATCTTACCGCAATATTGTTTTAGACATTGTATAAACACAATGACCTTACGCAAGGCTAATTGTCACCTAAAATCAGATGTAAGAACTGAAGGTCGAGTGGTCGTCATTTTCGTTGTGAACTGTAGAAAAGTATGACACACGACACACTATGATGGCACATAAAATTACCAGTGAGAGATCTGTAGAAAGAGACTTAACCTCTCAAGCTGACAACTTATTTGACATTTTCCCCAGGGCGCCCAGTACCATAAACCTAGCTATTGCCCCTTTCAATGTAAGTCCAGCCAAACAGGGACAACATGATTTAATATAACTTTTCTTTTGTCAAAATATCATTTAATGTAAAAATAAACTGTCACATGAGCACCAAGCAAGGCTTGAACGCCTTTCAAAATTTTGCCTTACAAAATTATTAGATATTTCCATCACAATTTTAATCATTACAAGACAACACTTTCAGACTTGAAATTGAAATGATCCATGAGCTGTGTTTTCAAATTTTTAATTTTACAAAATTTTTGTTAAACATAAAAATAAATGCTAGTACAGACAATGTAAGATCTGTTATTTTGGTAGTGCAGTAGTATACCTGGGTTCTATAAACAAAGGCAAGGTTTTAATTGTTTCACTATGTTATCCTCCAGGAGATGAAGACTCCAATATTGTACCAAGTGATATGGACAATGACTCAATTGCTCAGAGTTGGTTTCGGTTCCTACATGTTCTTAGTAATCCAGTTGACCTATCAAGACCTGTCATCATCAGCAACACTCCTAAGTTTCTACATCATGCATTGACAAGTGAAGATGTGATTGATCCCCATCAGCATCCATGTCTGAGATCTTTGCCATCTATCTATCTCAAAGCCATGAAAGGAATATCTGTGCTTGTCGATGCTTTTCTTGGTAGGTAACACAAGTCTGTGTTTTTGTAGACTCATTTGCACCTAGTATAGGCCAACGTACAGTACAGTACAGTAACCAATACTAAAGCAAATTCAGAAAGTGCAGATTGCAGAATAGCGGGAAGAAGAACAATGTCCTGAGTTGATTGTTGCATTGAAGATGTTTTGAATATACCTGTCCGGTGTGGGAGTAGGGAAGAAAAGAATTCAGTAGCTTGGAAATAACTATGCAACAAGGCAGTGATAAGGTGTCATAGACAAGACTACGACCATACTTTGACTGGTTTATTCAATAAACTTAAGACTATAAATACACTAACGTCAGATGGTTAGATTACACATGACAGGATTTGCAAATAACTATTAAATCTGGAATCTATCACTGAACTTGATCTTGTCTATTAGTGTAAATAAAATTCCCCGGAAATTACACCCCTTTCCGTAAGATTTGGGATTCTCAGACTTGATGTCTATTTTACAGTGTCTCCTGACACCCGGGCTAAGCATTCGCGCACACTTTGTTAGCACATGCTAAGATCTGAACCGGATCCTAAAAATGAATGTAACCCATAATTAGCTTTTCTTAGCTCGTGCTAATCATTCATGCTCTTAGCCTGTGCTTATGTGTGCAGGGAGGACCCAACAAAGAATGTTCACAAATTTATTGCGGTCAGTTTTTAGTGATTTGCAGTTTATACATATTTACAAGCAAACTAGTAAATTGAAACAGTTGTCAAAATTATGTGTCAGGCTTTGATATGGTTCAACAATTTTTGCTACCTATAACTGTGAGCTATGTTTAATGCATTTGAATGAATTGTGTATAGTGTAATATGTGCACAAAAGACCAACCAGAGAATAGTAGAATGTGCACATGTGTAGCTCTGACATAGTTTGCCCTTATATACTAATATGTAAGTGATATAATGTGTTCTGTTCTATGCATGCACCAAACTAACCTACTAATCAGTGTTACACATCAATAAAACATGTATTGATATATGCCATGCCAATGTAATGACTGCATGTCAATATCATAACTACAGAGAACTACTTTAAAACTCACAAAAATTTGTATGTGAAAAATTCACTGGGGTTTTAAAGACACAGTATCACTGCAATGTTCATGAAACTTTGTCAGGAACACCATCAAATTACAAAAATTAAATGGTTTACAGCATTTGTGTGTACAGTATTTCCAAAATCATTTGATAAAACTTTGGTGATTTTTTATTTTTAATTGAAATTCATGTGTATTCATTTACAAAAGTATTACCATATTATTACTATGCAGGTATTCAACACCAGGAAGTAGAATCACCTGGTAAAAATAGAAGGTCCGTTCATGTACCCCCTCCTCCACCTCCAGGTCAAGCAGGTCTTACTCCAACCCCAACACAGGGAAGAAAAATTACTAAAAGTTTTAGTGTTGCGAGTACTTCTGCCCACAAAGCAACCAGAGACAAAGCAGCTTCCATTAGTGGAGTCAGCTTGACACCAACATCTCCGCTGACCAGCGGCCGAATCAGCCCAAGCCAGCCGGTGAAGGAACGACAGCAACCGCTACCAAAGATACCACAGTGTAACAGTGTGCTGCATCTGTTCGGATCATGGTTATTTGAAGCATCATTAACAGGTTGTAAGTTAAATGTGGCGTTCGGCAGCCGCCATTCTATGTGCCGCTTTCATGTCAGTCCTCCTGCTGGTACTGGTGTTGGTCACAGTTTTGGTTATCCTAAACTTAGTACAATTATCCTGCCTGGTAAAACAGTAAGCCATTCTCAACCTCTTGCTCCTGGTGGTGGTCGTGCTGCCGGTGGTGGTGGGTATAAACTCAATTACTTCACCTCTTCTTTCTACCTTTCTGCTTTTAGACCTTTCATCAACTACATATGGCCACTTCAATCTTTCCAAAAAAAAACAACAACCTTTTAACAAAAACTAAACCAAATCATTTGCTGAATGACAGGTGATAACCTATACTGTATGGCTTGCTGTTACCTCATCTGTTGTTGCTTCCTTCCATTGTATGCTGCTCACTATTGTCTCAGTCTGCTTTCCTGCTTTGCCGAACATTTCTTGGTTTTCCTTGTCTTTCCTTGTCTTTCTTGCCTGTATACACCCTTACCAGCCCTGCAACCAACTTACCACCCAGTGTGTGTGATTGCATGTCTTCTTTATGTAAGTACTAAACTATACTTTATTTGTGATAAATCATAAATATAGTAAAATTTCATAACCAAAATGCAATATTTACTCTTTGATTACACGATGAGATCCCGTCAGATGTTGACAAGTTTATAGTTTGTTTTAAAATTGACTGCAGCTGCTTTAAAATATCCTAAAAGTGTGATGAACATCAATTCATTGACAGTCATGCACAAGAAAAAAAAACACTTTCTAGAATGATGTTTATCTAAATAGACTTGATATATTTTGCAATTTGTCATTTTTTGAGTTGTCTCAGTTCCATACATTTCAGATTTTCAGTTCTTTATGAAATTTGCATACTGCCGTTATGCATGTTTTAAATCGCTGTTGCTTACCAACCACATATTTTTTCAAGCAATCTGTGAACTGTTTCAATATTTGTAATCTTATTGATGTACTGTAAACATAACATGTTCTTTATGCAATTAATGTTTATTAATGCATATTAGCACTTTTTAACACAATAATTTTATAACCAAAGTATTTTCACATGCTATATTACATAATATATTGGTGTCAATGTGTTTGAATGTCTATTTTTGAGATGGTTACACTGAGATCTTGATTCACTTGCAATCAGGAGGAGTATGCAGTTTTAGGCTGATTTTATGTCACATTTAGTTTAACAGATTTAATTATTCTATGAAACATTTAGAACAATTATCCTATTTCAAATATTTAATCCAGAATATATGACCACATCTGAGGGTGCTCAGCTTCTGATCAATATTTCTTTTAACTGTATAGCATAGTTTGCTGTATTACTGGTACTAGTAATCCAAAAACACTAGAAAATACATTTGCTTGGGTTGAATCAGAGAGTTAGCTCATTTTGCATCAGATTGTTTTTCTCCTGGATCGTCTGGGTTATAATTTTAACATTTTTGAATGTGATGAGAGCCTGCAATCAATACAATGCCTGTTGGGATTGATGGAATCATTGAACATGGATTGGAAGCTTTCCCAATACTGATAAAATACTGTTAGAATAGTCAAACCTATTTATTGTTGATTGTACACTGTACAGCTATGGCTGACTTAATATGTCATCTGTATTTGTTATTACCGTAAGCTTGTCTCTATTGCCAAAAGTCTACATGCGTCAGGTGAAATGTGATTTTGGCAAGATGCATTGCTTTTAATAAATATACACCAAAGTATTGCTTCTACTTGAGCAGATATACATGATATCCGTTGAATAAAGGTCAATCTCATTAGTGTTTCTAGATAGAGCCCCCTGCACCATGCATTGTGATTTCACTTTTACAAAGTCTGTTGATGGACTTTGCTTTCAAAAATGATGATCACTACACCCTGGGTAGCGAGTCAGTGCCTTATAGTCTTAAGATGTTCAGTTTTTCGCCTTGCCTTGGAAGCCAAGATTGTGGATATATTAAAGGTGTAAGTTCATGAACTTTGCTGGCTGGTTTTGCGTAAATACCTGGCAAACTATTAGTTTAACTAATTAGTAGGTTTTTTGGGGTACTACATAAACTGTTGTTTTGGTGGAAAGATTTATAATAGAATTTTGTTGCGAGTCTTTATGCTGAATGATTACATCTCTGTTTTTAAGTAGTGAGTTTCTTCTTACTTGTGATTAGTGACTACAGTTTCAACTTGTAGTACACTAATTTCATGACATAAGTTTATAAAACTTAAATGATAGTTTAAATAATTTTCCACCTCCTCACCTTCCCAATTACGTGCTCGCAGACACACCAAAGAGATCTGGTCACATCTCCTATATTAACATTTAAAAATAGAGGGGATAATTAATCCAAATGTTTCACAGATAAATTAAATATGTTCAGTCGCAGGTCATTCTATTCCAAATTCAGTTTTGCATTGCACTTGTTGATTCCGTGTTATAGGCATATTATTTTTGAAAGTTTACAAAATGTTTGTAAAATATAGGAAAATGTGTTTCTCATTCATTCACATAATGAATTTGAACAAAATATAATTTATAACATGTCAGTATGCATATACATAACTTTGTGTGATGTCTCTGGGGATAACATACAATTGTGTGTATTTAGTTTGTAAAAAAACTGAGGCAAATGGGCTCATAAATGACTTGTTATAAAATGACAAGCTGCACTCAGTAATGTGGCCACCTAGTAAAAACCACCTGTTGTAAAAACATGAATTGTGTTTTGTTTGAAATTTTAAGTAACTTTGACTTGCATATCTAAATAATTGCGTGTTATTTTTGTGTTTTACTTGTCTACTAGGTTTGCCGGCAAGGAGGTTTAGTATTGGTAATGAGTCACGTAGAACCGCCAGTTTTACTACTGATATCAGAAGAATGTCAATGCAACCTGATGGCTCCAATCCCACAATATCATCCAATCCTTACTTAGATGATGCTCCTGAGACTTACGATGCAGGACGTGCTGAAGCCTCTGGTACTTTGTGTAGAATTTTCTGCAGTCAGAAATCTTCAGAAGAGATTCTTCCAGTTTATTTGTCACGATTCTATACTACACTAATTGAAGGCCTTAGGAATGATGAGGTTTGTACTACATATGATAACATTGATTGCTGTCATGATTGGCAGATACTAATTGAATAATTAATATTTAAGCAAACTGTACATTCGATCATTTTTAAATATTGTATATGACAGTTATGTTTCATAGTGATCATTGAGAATTACCTGGTTTTGAGTAAAATTAGTGTACCTAATTAATATGCAAATCATTATGTAAAAAGTTGAACTAAAAAATAACCCTGTACGTCCAATCGCATATTGAGACTCTTTTAAATTTAGTAACTGGTTCTTGAGGTGCTAGTAGTATGATAATTATACAATCCGGTAGGCTGGTTGGCGCTCCGCTCCGCTCAAAAATAAGCAACATGTTTTTGGCTGTTTCCATGGTGTGACATAAACGTGAAGCTAATGTCGGTTTATTAACTAAATGGGCCCCGTATACAAAGTTCGCAAAAACAATTCAGTCTTTAGAAGTCACTTAGTTTATTACTAGGACTTATTCTGCTGTTACATTTATTATATCCAACCGTTTTGCGATAGTATTTTCTGGAATGAAAGCAGCATTTACAGTTCATTCAAAGTTGCGTTGGGATTACGTTGATACAGTGTAACAATGTCGGCGTCGGTGATCTCCCACCAGTGTGCAACGTAGCCAAAATAAAAAGCATGATCATTTGAACACTGCTATTACAAAATTGGTAGGAGGTAATACATTTGGGCCGAAAGTATTCAAAAATAAGTTTTTTGATGTTGCAATGGCAGTGGTGGGCCAGGATTTTTTCTTATGAGTGACGGTACGACTTACCTGTGAAGTATGAACAAAATCAGCCGAGTCAAAAAAATCACAGAGGAGTTAAAAGCTGTTGCTGGTAAAAAGTTACCCCAACTTTGGGGTAAAATGTCTTGGTAATGAAAAAAGATATAAAAATTCAAATAGTAACTTTGTGCCCGCACTCAAGCTGAGTAGAATGAGCTATGTCTGAAGTGTTTTATCCTAAATTTGTAGGGGAAGATACGTTTGGTGCAAAGCTATCCAAAAATCAGTTTTTGAGCTGTTGCTATGGCAACGGTGGGCCATAAAAATCGCATTAATACGTGAAAAGACTGGAAATCACACACACAAAATGACAAAAGTGATTATAAGGGCAATCCTAGCGGAGCGAATCGGCAATAATGCATCTAAATGCATCTCACAGTAAGCATAATGAGATATTGCATTCCTATCATTTAAGAAAAGGTGAAATGTTTTATATGTATGTATATGTGTATTTTGCAGCATATGAGTGGTCACGTTTTGTGCAGTATTATTGTGAATTCAGCAGACCTTCTGAGGATTGATCTGAAAGGAGTCCAGATATTGATTCCTGAAATGATATCCGCACTAGAAATGGTTTTACCTGAAAGGGATCTCAGGTTTAAGTGAGTACTGCACAAACTTTGTTGTTCCTGAATATATTGTACACAATTGTAGTGACCAAGAATTAATTATTTCGAATAATGTTTTAATTTATCATTAGGGATAGGTACATCATCGATTGGAACTGGTTCTTTTATCTTCAACCTGTCCAATGGACAGCACTTTTATCTTCAACCTGTTCAATGGACAGCACATTTATCTTCAACCTGTCCAATGGACAGCACTTTTATCTTCAACCTGTTCAATGGACAGCACTTTTATCTTCAACCTGTCCAATGGACAGCACTTTTATCTTCAACCTGTCCAATGGACAGCACTTTTATCTTCAACCTGTCCAATGGACAGCACTTTTATCTTCAACCTGTCCAAATGTTGAATTAATGTGGATTCCATCTGCGATAATTATTTTTCATGAAATGTACTCTCTATAATTAACAAAAAACAATGATAGAAGGCACTGAAAACTTGAGAAAATGATTATTCACTACGTTCAATTACCCACCATAGACTCCGGTCAGTCAAAATGACTATTTTGAACTGTAGGCATTAATCAGCGATTCTGCCGGTGACGGAGAGATAGAATCCAGGTCAGGGGAAGCCCCATGACCTCAAGATTCTTTTACCTCTTACGTCACGAACCCACGTGATCGAGGCCACCTGGCAGCGCAACGGGTAGCCGTCCATCACTCTTATTTTTTCTTCGCCTCGAGTGGAGATGAAATCTAGCGAGCTCTGCTGGATCGCCTGCTTTTTTTTCCTGTCCGGATTTATAGCTTGGGTTGTTGCCGCTGCACGGCATCCGACATTTAAGCTGGTAGGATAAGTTTTCCTTGTCATTTTTACCCTCGTGTCATTTTCCCCTTTGTGTGTAGTATTTTTCACAACAAAGAAATTAAAATCCGGCGCCACTACGTAACCAGTTGGTCATCAGGGCGGCACCTTTTACAACTGTAATTCGTTTCCCTCATGCATGTCGTCTTTTATTTTTCAATGTATTTAGCAATATATAGATGACAGCA